CTGATCACACAGCTGGTGGGTGGCCGAGCTGGGAGCTCAGATCTGCCGACTTCAAACCCCTCTGCTTTCCGACTCTTGCTTGGCAAAGTATCTTAAAATGATGACCTGCAGAAGTGTTCCTCCTGAGTTATGTTCCTTGTATCCCATTTTGGGATATCATTGTTGCCAGGGATCCTGGTGACATCGATCCCTGTTGTGTGTGTCTGATCCCCTCCCAGCAGTGTGGCTCGATAGGTGGTGACGGAGGGGAGAATCACGGGCTATAGCAGTGGGTGGGCCCAAGGAGGGAGCAGGTCATCTAAGAAGGGCTGAGAGGGGATTGCCCTAAGATGTGTTATCTGTGACTGCCAGTGTGGACAATGACTGCTTGTTTTTTACTGAGAAGCAGACTCATCCAAGAGGAAGATCCTGGGCATCAGAGCCAGAGAGACCAGGAGAGGAACCCAGATCTGCTACTTAACAACACACTCAGTTTTGAACTCTGTACATGGAAACAGTGGTACCAGTACCCTGGCAGGATTGCTATAAGGAATAGAGATCTATATATGCAAAGCCCTGTCATATAGTACAGGCTCAATAACAGGAAGCCATTATTACATTACTGTCATTAAATCACAAGGGAAACCTCTAGTGAAACAATTCAGACTCCTTGACCTGATCCATCCAGGAGACATTTATTGTTCCATTGCTGCATTCTCAGCTCCGGCTGTGTACTGTGGGGGGGTGGGGGGGGGGGCAGATGTAGTATTTAAAGAATGTGAAAATAAGTCCTGACTCCTTGGTTCTGTGATTTTCCACAGCTTTATTTGTATGGCCTTCTAGAAATGGACATAGTCAACGTGTATATTTCTTGCTCAACCTTTTCTGCCACTTCCTGCCTCCCAGGCCCGCCCCCAACCCCGCAAAGGATCTAAATGTTATGTCGTTGCCTTGGGATATCTGGGGAATTGAGAGAGGCCAGGGTGCCTAATTCTAGAACACACACTCCATGAGGACAAGGACTTTGTCTAGACTGATCACTGCTGTACCCCCGTCAGCTAAAAGAGGTGTGCGATGAACCTTTGTTGATTGAACAAATCGTGTCTTCTCAGGCTGTTTGTTACACGTCTGTGGCAGGGTTTCTGGGCATGGACTCTTGACAGTTGGGACCTGACCGTCTTCGTTGTGGGCGCGGTCCTGCCCACCGTGGGAGGGTCCGGAGCAGCCCTGGCTCTCACCCGCTCAGTGCCGGGAGCCCGCGCCCCATTTTAAGAGCCAGGAATGTCTCTGGACGTTGCCAAAAACCTTCTCTCCAGAGGCCACATCACCCTTAGAGGAGCACCCTTGGTCTGCACAGAGGGGTTTGGGCTGGGGTTCTGTTGAGAGGTTCGGGTTTTTGTAACATGAATAAAGCAAAAAGGTTTGTTTTAAGATGTGAAAATGTACTATGTGTGTGATAGCAGTAAAAAAAAAAAAAAAGTTTCATTGAAATCCACTACAGATACTTCCCTTCCAGTTGCTGCAACTGTCTGTCAGAGGAAGTGGGAAGAGAAGGTGCGGGCTGGGCTGAGGCGAGGCGGCGCCAGGAACCCCGGTAACTGCTGCTTAAAGAAACAGTAACTCTGGATGGTACGGCTTCCAGTTCAATTTGGAATCAGCAAGTCCAGTACAGACTAACCTGTTTACAAGGCAGATCACTTACACATCTTGGCCAGTTGGCCTTTTTAAGATCGATTCTGTGGATATTTCGCCCAGTATTGTTTGTTAAAGATAGCTGAGGTTCAGGCATGAAGTGTCGGCTTTCTGGTGACTGTCCAGATCAAATTTGGCTTACAGAAGAGTGACTTTTCTTATCTGGCTAAGCCAATCCACTACTATCAGAAGCGTTGTTTTCTTACTTTGACACCTGGGTATTCATAAAGCTGTCCAGCAGCTGGAAAGAAGGTTGGAAATCAGAGAATCTGACCTCCTCCGTTAGGAAATTAGAAAACTCAGCTTCCATAGAAGCTGACACTTTTCCTTTCAAGCACCAATGCATCAGCACCCTGAGGTATTAATCAGAATAGAGCTTTTGTTGCACATGATCCTATTGCTTTTAGCGAGGACCTTCTCTACCCTGCTCTATTGCAAAGACTGTTCTAAGAAAGTAATATGGACACAGTCTTGTATTAAAAGTATTACAGCATTCAGCAAAAACAGCCTTGATGGGAACACACCAAGAGTCATTTGTGAAACTCCATTAAGAATACAAGTGTGTAGATGGTATAACTGGACAGTTTAGGAGTGAGGGTGTAGAGAGCAGGAAATCTCAGGTTACCTGTATTCAGATGAGGTTTTTGTGGCTTGGGGCACATTTCCAAACCTCTGCAGGCACTGGGCAGCTCACCTGTAAGATGGTGACAAGTAATAATGACCTCTGAGTACATTGGCTGACGGGGATTCGGCAATGTAGTGAAGGTGACTTGCTTATTATCACATAAGCGGAGTTCAGCCCACACACCCCAGCCCCTGACATCATCGTCACGCCCTGAGAAACGCTGCCTCGTCCTCTCATGAAGCAGCCCTTCTCAGACTCTAGAAGTTAGATTTCTTCGAAAAACTTGAGCAGTGGAGCTTTGTGTAATTGTCTTCTGTACTAGAAAATGAGTAAAAGACCAGAACGTGGAGACAGAGGCATTTTAAAAGAGACAGATAAAGCAAAGGTTTATCACTGATTTTTTTTTTCTAGGTTAAATAGTGATATCCTCACGTTGTATTTGCTTAAACTGACATCAGGCTGAAAGAGGTGAATTCTGACTCAAATTATAACTCGTTCTAAACCATCATAAATTGAATGATAACTTTAGAAGTTAGCAAAAATTCAAAATGCACAGTTTTAAAAATGAAAAAATTGCTTAGTACATTTTCCTACCTTTGGACCTTCACTTTTTGCCCACACCCCATTAAGGAAAGAACCTGTACATGATCTGCTCTGTGCCTTGGGCAGCCAGGGATATATTTGCTGGGAATAGTTAGTGGAGACGTCAGCTAAACTCTTCAAAGGAAGAAAAGTCACTGTTAGAATAAATGCCAGTAAATTTTCCTATAAAAGCGGTAGATTGTTCATGGGAAAATCTGTTCAAAAAAGGTTAAAGTTTGGGTTTTGTTTTTAAGTGTTTTCACCCAGTTCTTTTGAAATTTCAGCCTCAAACAGCATGTGTGTGTGCTAAGTCACTTCAGTGGTGTCTGACTCTTTATGACCCCATGGACTGTAGTCTGCCAGGCTCCTCTGTCCATGGAATTCTCCAGGCAAGAATACTGGAGTGGGTTGCCATTTCCTTCTCCAGGGGATTTTCCTGACACAGGAAATCGAACCTGCATCTCCTGCATCGCTAAGCACATTGAGGAAGCCTCAAACTTGTATTAAATAGCAATTCAATGTTTATCTGAGTCAGTCCTTCCGTTCCTTGGGCAGCGCAGATAAATGGAGGCATCGTGGGCCAGGCACCGTTGCTGCAGGTGCTGATCGAGTCCTTTCTCTTCACTACAGTCTGTGGTGCAGTGTAGTGTAGTAACAACACGGTTATTTTAGGCTTCCAGTCTGGCAGAAAATGCGATCATGGTGGTTATTGTAGATTTGCTTTTGTCAAACAGTGTCCAATGCACTTATGACAACTAGAAAAGAGTCGCACACCTGGCGCTTTGGGGAAGATTTATTTAATAGGCTCTACCTGTTCACCAGGGTCCCTTGTTCGCCCCCACACTAGTCCGTAACTATGCTTCCTTCTGACCTCCAGGCTGGGGGGCTGTGTGCAGAAGTGCGTTTTTTAATATCAGGTTTGACACCCAGGTCCGCATGATTGGCCCATAGTTCCTGGACTGTCGTCTAGAGAGCTCAGTCTTGATGCTCTACAGAGCTCTGGTGCTTGATGCTCACCCATAGCTGGGTGGGACCCTCTGCTCTGCCATGCCCTGCACCTCTGAGCTGGGTCAGTTCGGGGCACATTTCTAGCTGGGAAGTTCAGCATCTTGAAGTCCCCTCTCAGAGGGTCAGCACTGGTAAAGAGCATTCTTTTTATAGGTTCCAGACTCTCATGGGTCAGCTGGGAACCAGTGCATGCTCCTCACCACAAGCCTTAGTTCTTACCATCAATCAGACACGGGGCTGTGGTGCATGACTTGAATTTTTAAATCTTAGGCATGATGTAGCTGGACCTGAACTTTTCTGAGCAAGACCTGCTAATTCAGTGTAGGGAGAAAGGAAAGATGGCTGGGTTGAAGAGGCTTCACTTCTGCAAATAGATGGACACGTGTGCTGTTACCCATGACCCATGACACAGTGCTGGGTAAAGCCAGGAGTGGATGGCTCTTCTGGTGAGTAAGCCTGTAGTGTGTTGCCATCTAGTGGAACATATGGCAAACTAAAGATTAATGTATTCCGACTGCAGAGTTCACCAGAGCTAATTACATCAGCCGGAGAAAAGAACTGAAAAGTATTTTGGAAACATGCAAATTCAGGTGAAACAGAAAGTCGGAGTGACTTTGAATAATCGTGTTTTCTTAATGTTGGCAAAAGGTCAGCCCGTTTCTCAAGAGTTCATGAATATTTACCACCAGGGAACTAACAAGTTTTTCAAACGCATAACCAGATGAGGATCACGCACTGTCATTGTCGTGTGTACAACAGGCCTGGTTTCCTGTTCGAAGTCCTTGACAAAAAAGGCTTGGTTATCACACGGTTATTTTAGTATTTTCTTAGACTGTGATTTTAAGGTTTTGAATACCTTTCTCACTTGCATTTCCACTTTTCCTGTTAAATTTCCACAGGGTAAATATGCTGGTTTTTAGGAGAAGCAAGCACCTGACTTGACAAAGTGGGAGTTCCACATTTTAAATTCTAACTAGCATCCCAGACGTGTCTGCTTCTGCGGTTTCAGACCCGGCTGGTGGGCAGACCTGCAGACTTAACATTGTGGACTGTTTCATGAACACTGACACCTTGTTTTCCTTGTTTCTTTGCTCTTTGGCTTCTGTTTGCCTAGATCCCTCCCTGGTGCCACAGCGGCCGAGTGCGCATCAAATCTGAAGAAAATCTACACAGTACAAACAGTACAGGTAAGACCAAGAGACCTGCTGTTGGGGGAAGCTTGCTCGCCCGACCTGAGACCTGCCTCTATGCTAGCAGCGCCCACCCTGACTCTGCCCTGGCCCCGGCCCTCAGGTTCATTCCGGCAGAGCTTCCCTCAGCCGTGTCTGCCCCAGAGGCAGCTGATCACACTGCGCTTCTCTTGGTGACCTAGAGGATGTTATCCCTACTTCAGTGTTTCCCAGACCCTCACCAACAGCAGTCTGGGGCATTGTCTTGAAGGTATCAGGCTGTGTCCCATTCAAACACCAGCTCAGCCGTTCCCTCCCTGGGCTCCATTTGCCATCAGTGAGAGGTCCTGGCCTCACCCGCAGGGTTATCATAAGAAGGTCGCGGGTCACGTTGGGAGGACAAGACAGTGTTGAGCAAGAAGGTGGAAGGTGTCAGACCTGTTTGCTACTTCTGCGTTCGAATTCCATCATCCTAAGTTGGGCGAGTGTCAGCCCTTTAATTTCTGTGAAACTGGTGTAGCACCTGCCTCCATAGCTGATTGTGAGGATTGAATAAGATGGTGTCTTTACCAGGTTTCATGGGAAACCCGACAACAATGTAGGCTGTTAGAGCTCTTCGTTCGTTCTCTATCCAACTCTTAGGATGAACATTAAAAAAAAAAAAACTGGTCTATTTAGTTGATTACATTACTGTTTTGTTCCAAGGAAAATTCTATCAAGTTTCTCGCCCTTTTCTAGTTTTAATACATTGTTGAACACAAAATAAGGCTTTTAGGCCTGCTTCATACTTGCATTGACTATATGTCCTGAGTTTTCTGGAAGGCTCAGTTTAAATCATTTGTGTGTTCTGCCCCCTAAATCTTTTAATGTCCTAGAAATTTCAATACACTGGTGTTTAGACTGTGTCTCCCTGGCAGCCTCTCACAGTAGCACAGCCTATATTCAGATGCTTTCCTGCCTATCTGGTTCAGAAAATGTAGGGCTTAGGGATCTGATTGTAAGTGCCTCACCAGGCACAGAAGACCCTAAGTTGGGTGTAAAAACAGTCCCAACCATAGGCCGTTTCTGATCTAGTTGAGAAAACGACATAAGCATGTGGAAAGCAGAATAACAGAGCTGCTGTGAATAACCAGCGCCAAGTACAAGCAGTGTCACAGCGGCACATGGGCCCCTGTCCAGAGGGACAGATGCTCCGAGTCTGGGAAAGGCTACTGCTCCCTCCCCCTGTGGTGACATTACGGGCCTTGTCACTTCTCCGCGGGGCCGCTGTGTAAAGCTCCGAGCACTTGATGCTAAACTTGTCCTCCTGTAGGAGTTCTTAGAGCCCGCTGGTTTTATTTATTTATTTGAGGTCCTCTTGAGACTTTTCCCACTACTCTTATGACATTGGATCATCAGAACTGTGCCTGGGATTCCAGGAAGACATTGGTACAGTCACACTGAGGGATCAGTTTGTTTCCCTGACCCTGCGCGAAGATAACAGAGCATTGGTTGGGCCTTGATATCTGGTAGCAAGTGACATAGAGCCTTCAGGGACCAATTTAAATTTCCCAGGCCGGCACATACTAGGAAATACTTTCAAATAAACTTTATTGGGATATAATTTAGCAGGTTTCTGAAGTGTATAGTGTGATAAATTTTGGCAGAGATGCACAAGCATGTAATTATCACCAGGATCAAGATAAAAAATTTTCATCCTGCCTTAGAGTTCCTTCATGCCCTTGCCTTCTGGTCCTTCTTTTGCAGAAGCAATCACTACTCACATTTCTGTCATCATGCCTTGGTTTTGTCTTTTATTGAACCTCATATAAATGGAATCACACAGTATTGTGTGTTGTGTCTGATTCCTTTCTCTTCATAAATACTGAAGGATCAAATCAGTAAATGAGGAATTAATAAATGAACCACTTACCTGAGTCACAGCAGACTGCTCGCTTAAGGATCCATTAAGCTGTTTGTCACACATTCTCAATGCGAGCAAAAACTGATTCTTGGTAGGGCAAAAAATGATTGTACTCTTTTTCTCTATAAAGCACAGATATGCATATAGTATGTATACAGATGCACAGTCTTTCGGTGGTATCAGAGTTTCACAGTAAAGTGATTAGGAACAGAGCTCCTTCAGATAGTGGGGTGGTGATGAAACCCTGCCCTAGGAGGTCAGGAAATTCTGTCCTATGCCTGATGTGTCTGTCCTCCTCCATTTCCTTGTCTGTAAAACTGACATAGATAATAGCAGTTCTACTCCCTAAGGTTGAATAAGGGATTAAGTGAGATTGCATAGCTCTTAGTAGTGCTTGGCACTTCATAAGCCCTCACCTGTCAACAGCTTTTACAAAAGCCAACACTTTTGTAATAAGAGTAGAACCCGACAGTTCTACCCTTTATCAGTTGACCGGGGAGGATGTGGGCTGGGGTGTAGGCTAGTCACACTGCCTGGGTTTGTATCTCATATCTTCCACTTAGTAGCTTGGGCTAGTTCTTTGGCTTCTCTGTATCTGTTTACTTATCTCCAAGATGGGAATAATCTGATACAAGTTGTATCACGAGTTTGTGAGAATGAAATAGCATAGGACTTAAAAGCACATAGTAAGTGCCTGATAATAGTAACAAATTCATCTGCCATTATTTCTCAACTTCTGTTGGAACATCATCTTGTACTTTCCACGATCGTTTTTTTTAAATTGTGTTGGCCTATAGTTGCTTTACAGTGTCGTGTTGGTTTCTGCCATATAGCAAAGTGAGTGGGCTCTATGTGTACATATATCCTGTTTTGGATTCCCTTCCCATTTAGGTGACCACAAAGCATTACAGTAGGTTCTCATTAGTTATCTATCTTATACGTAGTAGTGTATTTGTGTGAGTCCCAATCTCCCAGTTCATCCCACCCTGCCCCCTTTCCCCGTTTGGTGGCCATGCATTAGTTCTTTACATCTGTGTCTCTATTTCTGCTTTGCAGATAGGTTCATGTGTATCATTTTCCTAGATTCCACGTAGATACATTAATATACAATATCTGTTGTTCTCTTTCTGACTCACTTCACTCTATGACAGTCTCTAGGTCCATTCGTGTCTCTTCAAATGGCACAGTCTTATTTTTTTTTTCTTTCAATTTTTTGTGGTTGAGTAATACTCCATTGTATATGTATACATCTTCCTTATCCATTCCTCCATCGATGGACATGTCCTGGCTGTTGTGCCTAGTGCCGCAGTGAACACTGGGGTGCATGTATCTTTTTGAATCTCAGTCATGTTTTAAATTTCTGTGTACCACTGCTTCTAGATGATTTCAGGCAATTATTCCCCAGATGATACCACTGCAAATACCTCTACTTAATGAAAACATGTTTAACAGGTGTGGGGATTTCAGCCTGTATCCTTAATATCTGCGAGTAGTTTTTAGTATTTGAGAACTAGCCTGTGTGCTGATTTTAAAATCATTTGAGAATATGCTTTTGCCCTACTCTCTTTTTGTTCCATGATTGTAGGTTTATTCTTGAGTAGTCACTCTGTCAGTACTAAAAAAATTTACATCCCTAATTATGTCTGTTTTTCCTTCATCTGTGTTGAGATGCAATGTAAGTGTCATGTGTTATTATTGATTGCTTTCTGTAAGGACGTAGTAAGTCTTTTTGTACCTTGAGGCCCTCAGCAAGTCAGAGATGCAGATGGAGGTAGAAGAGAAATTGTTATCCCTATTGACTAGCTGGAGGGACTGAGTCTGGGAGGTTAGTGGCCTGAAACATATGGTGGAAACAGTCAATCATGCTATGTCTCTGGGACTGGAAGTCCCTCCTCCTCTGGGTCCATCCTTTTGCTTTTGCTCCTCCCTGACCGAGGAGTAGATGGATGAGGCCTGTGCCTCCAGCCGGCCCGGTGACCCTTGCTAAGGACACTCTCATCACAGCCAACAGTAATGCCCTCTGCTTGAAGTTAAATTTATTTCCTACTTTACTGCCTTTCTTGGAAAATTCCATGTTTCATTTAGATGTGTTTTCCAGACAGCCTATTGATTCCTTTTACTCTTGTGTAAACATTTCCAAATTTTCCACATTTCTCTTGTGTTTTTATGTCCTAAACGGATGCAGCACAGAATAGAAGACAGCTTCTGAACAAGCTTGATGGGAGAGAGCTACCAGCCAGATGCAGTTTGCAGGGGCGGGCTCTGTTGCTACCACAGGACCAAAATTTCAGCCCTGAAAACCCATGCCAGAATAGCATTCTAACCCACTTTTTGTTGCTGTTCAGTTGCTCAGTCGTGTCTGACTCTTTCCACCCCTGTGGACTGTAGCACGCCAGGCTTCCTTGTCGTCCACCATCTCCCGGAGTTTGCTTAAATTCATGTCCGTTGAGTCGGTGATGCTGTCCAGCCATCTCATCTCTGCTGCCCCTTTCTCCTTTTGTCTTCAGTCCTTCCCAGCATCAGGGTCCTTTCCAGTGAGTCAGCTCTTTGCATCAGGTGGCCAGGGTACTGGGGCTTCAGCTTCAGCAGCAGTCCTTCCAATGAGCATTCATGGTTGGTTTTCTTTAGGATTGACTGGTTTGATCTCCTTGCAGTCCAAGGGCGTGGCAACACCTTAGAGGTATCACCTTTAAGGTGTTGCCACGCTGTGTCTCCTTGTTCTGTGTCCTACCCAGTGGTCCTGTAAATTGAGGGACATTTTGCTTAAATTTAAAGAAAACAGAAACTTCACATTTCTTCTGTAAATGAATGTCCAGCACTGTTTATTGTAAATGAAGGTCTTCATAAGCATATATGTGCATGCTAAGTCACTTCAGTCATGTCTGACTTAGCACGACTTTTCTGTTTCTCTGAATGTTTGAACCCCATTAACTCCCTAATTCAGACTTTGTTTTTCATTAATTGACTTCCTGCATGGTTGGAAATTGCCCTGATCTTAGCCTTCATCTTCCCTACTCCCCATCAGTCCTCCAAACTTTGGTTCTCACTTTAAGTCAAGCCCTTTGGAATTCAAAGCAAAACCCATTGCTCTCTCAAGTACCTAGCTTTCCCAAGTCAGAAGCACTTTGCTTTCAGCCTGTTGTGTCTGCTGTGATTTTAAAACATCCATTAGGCTATATAGTTGCCTTCTTTCTTCTGGGCTCTGTCTGCCCTTTCCATAAACACCATTGATTCAGTTGGTGGGATGCAAGCCCCAGCCAATTAGAATTACCTAAGGAATAAAAATGTTTGTTTAAAATTTTAAAGATACTTTCAAAGATTTATATGCTGTAACCCTCAGAAGAAATTGTGGATTTGGTTTTTTTTTTTCCTTTGGAGGTGTATTTGCTAGAATTTTTTTTTTTTTTTGTAAACCATGTTGTCTGTCACCATATGGCATTTTTTCTTCTCAAGCATTTTCAAGTTTATTCTCTCTCTCTTTTTTTTTCTTCAGAACATTCAGTAAAAAACTGAGGAGGAAATTTGCCAATTTTCTTGGCAATGATTGATGATCTATTTGGCAAAAAACTGTCAGGAGGAGAGTAATTGCTTCAATCAGAACTAGTAGGTTGGGGATTTATCAAGTGGACACCATTGTCTAGTGAATCTAACCACTCCTGGGACTCATCACAGCACCCTGCCCCTCACTGATGTCTGCACATGTTGACTGAATAAATGATGTTGGACTTCCCTACCTCTCCTCCAGTTACCAAGTTTTTGGGAGAAAAAAAAAACACTTCATCATTTTTAATAAATATTGTGCTTAGTTCTACTGTAATATACTGTTTGCAGGCCAGTTAGAATTAATTCTAAGTCTACAGGCTTTTGAAATCTATTTGTAAGGTTCTGTCAGTGATAAAACATAGATGTTTCAACAAAAATAAAAGTGTGTTATGGAGAGCATGGCCAGGAATTATTTATCCAGCTTCCAGTGAAACGGTGCTTTTACTTCCGCAGGAAAGGAGGAGGTGTAAGGAACTGTGTGATGCTAGATTCCTTCCTCCAGCTCTTTCTCCATCACACATCCTTGACGAGTAGTCCACACACTGGGTGAGGCTTGCAGTAAGGAAACAGACTAACTTTGTGCTGTGGACTTTAATGGAGCTGTTTTTAATGAAGTCACCACATATTTCACTCTCATTTTGTGTTCATGCACAAACATGCAAATATGGACTTGAATAAGTACATTAGGTCAGATTAAAGTATTTCACTGTTATCTTCTTGGGCTGTAATCGTCTCCTCTCAGATTTGCCAAGACTAACAAAATCAGTTGCCCATTTGTTTTTTCAAGGAAACTTCTAAAGTCACATGCCATGGCACAATCCTTAGCGTGTCATGCTTACGTTTGGAATGGGAGAAGCATTTTTTTGTGTCTTCCATGGTGCCTCAAACATGGGTGAAAAGTTAAGATTTGAGAATTTTGGCAGGGTACAAGGGCAGGTGTTCTAGCTTGGGATCCCTTTTAGGAAACTTGAAGTTTGCCAGGTCTGAAGTCATCTTGGTGAAAGCAGGCATTTACACTGTAGCATAAATGTGTCCATAAATTCTGCACGGGTCCTTGCCATATCATTGTGGAAGTCCCAGGCTAGAGCTAAGGCAGCCGCATAGCCAGTAATGAAGGGAACCTGCTGGTGGGAAATGGTCTTCAATGGTGCCCCTCACTCTGTTATCTCGTGACCTGTTCCATGGCTTCTAGGATTGGAGAAAGATGCACCTAAGATGGGTCGTAGTGTCTGCAGAGGGGGAAGTTGCTGAGTGGTTAAGATGACAGGTTTTAGATCCACATGCCTGGCCTCAAATTCTAGCGCTGCCTGTTCACACCCATATCACAGACCAGAAATGAAATATTGGGATAATCTTACTGTCTGCACTGATAGCACACCGTTGATATGATAGGTGTCTCCACAAAGACAGACATCTGTTTGATGACCTACAGAGTTATTTTCAGCTACTTGCTACATTCCCACCGTTTAGTATAAGGGACACTAGGTATTCTTATTAAATCTGTTGTCAAGTAGGGTGTGTTTCTTTTGCCTTTACTTTTATTTTACCATTCATTATAGCTGGCCTTGCAATGAATCCAGCTTTAATTTTTACACAACACGGGCTGAAACAATCCGCTAAGGTTGTTTTATCTGTGTTCGATGAGGATTATCGTTCAGCATAGGTAAAATGTCATTTCACCTATGCTATCCTTGGATTCATTTTTCTAACTGTTCTCTTGCTTGTTCTGTTCCCCTCAGATCCACTAGGAGTCCCAGCCTTCCTTGACTTAACTTCAGCACACAAAATATTGTTTCTCATTTGTATAGTGATTCTCTGCATAAATATGTTCACAGTGCAGTGATTCTTGGGCCCGTTCCAAACACCTTGGGATGAGCTCTCTCCTGTGTACACCCAATCTTTGTCCTAAGCCTGGCAGTTGTACCAGGGGGATTAGTCTGTGTGCCTCAGTTTCCTTATCCATGGAGCAAGGCTGATAATTACACCTTCTATTGAGATTGTCATTAGGATAAATTTTGTAAACATTTAGAAGTTCAGAGACCAAATTCTGGCCCTATTAATATTCCTGCTGTTACTCTCATTGTTACTATTACGCTACTATTTTTACGTAATCTGTTTCTGACTCCCAGCTACCATGTGCCTTAGTGCCTTAGTATTCTACAGAATACTGTAGACTGGATGAATTCGACAACAAATGCTGATTTCAGATGATTTCTCACGCTAAAGTCCAAAATCAGGGAGCCAGCATGATCAAGTCCTGGTGAAGGCACTCTTATTGGGTTTATAGACAGACAGTCGTCTGTTCATTGTATCTGCACATGGTAGAGAGAACTCTCTTCCTTTCCTTATCGGGACATCATGGTGCATGGGGTGTTCCATCCTTATGGCCTAATTTTGTCCCAAAGACCCCACCTCCTAATACCATCCCAGTGGGGGCTTGGGTATCACTCTGTGAGTTTGGGGAGCACACAGACTTGGAATTCATAACACCTTGTATCTTGGGGAACTTGCTGCTTTGGCAGCTGAGCAGTTCCTTTTTCCTGCTGGGAGAGGAAAGGAAGTGGGGAGTTTCCTGTTTGCCTCCTGCATACCCCCTCCCCCAATCCGAAGTGTAACAGACTCTTCCTGGGCTTAGAAGACAGAGTCTGTGTTACAAGGAAATACGGTTCAGTACATATATTCAGCACTGCTGACTTTATTATATGCCATCTACGTGTCAGAAAAATCATTAGCAAGATCCTTACCCAGTTTTATGTGGAGACACATTGCATAAGAATGGTTGCTTAATAACCATAGTTTCCTGAAGCATACAACTTGGCCCGACTTCAGAAAAGAACATTCTTTAATGTTATGTTACAGTTCCTAGCAGAAAATTACAAAGAATACTGAGAAAAATCTAGTTCGAATGGATAGGACTTAATGAGAACCTGATTTTTTTCTTTAATGCATTAGTTTTATAATCTAGCAGTATAGTAAGTCAATACTGGATATATTAAACGAAGTGTTTTTCTTTTAAAGATATTCTGGAGTGTGTACAATAATATTCCTCCTGTGACTAGCCTGCCTTTGAGATGCAGTTATCATTTAATGAGAGGAGAGAGGCGACCACTCTGGTAAGTGTCTTCTGTATAATTCGCAGTTATGGTGGGAGGGAAATGATTGTGAACTTAATAAAATGTTTAACTTCACGCCAAATTGGAATGCCACAGTAATTTTCTCCTAGTGATGCTGCCATGATTTAGTTTTGAAATAAGCCCTGCTTACCATCCCTTTCTCCTTGTACCCTGGGATGATGAGCAGGTGTCTCAGCATCTGCCCATGGAGGACCCCACCACAGTCTCTCCATAAATAGGTCCTCAGTAGCTCACTGAAGGGACCATGCAGGTCTTTGTTTGGGGGCATAGCATCATTTGGGTTTCTTCTTTCATTTGTTCAGTAATGACCCGACAGTGCAATGAAAAAGCTTATAGGCTGTAGGGAAGGTGGAACCGTGCATGAACAAAGATCACATCCCCTCAGACATACCTCACATGGACCACATAGAAAATGTATGATAGTGGCCATGGCCCACAGTCAAGGGGAAGCTGTCTTTCTTCGTTAATGGCTGGGGTAGTGTTGAGGGTGGGGAAGAGTAAGCCACTTTCCCTGGGCTGGAATCCCAGTTAATAGTGAATCCTTGTATCATGTTCCTTGACTCTTCTAAGTCATTTACTCAGTAATGGAAGGGAAATGTATCTTAACTCTTTGACAGTTAATGACAGAAACCTAAACTGAGCCAAAAATGGAATCTTTTGGCCTCTGTAACTAGATAGTCTACTGATGGGGCTAATTTCGGGCAGATCTGGGTGCTTAGTTGTTATTGGGACTCTGACACTCTGTAGCAGATTTGCTTTGCCTTCCTCTTCCTTGGTTTAATTTTCAGGCAGGTTCTGCAGTTTAGGTGACAAAATGGCTTTCCTAGGCTCCAGTCTTTCACGCTGCAAGTTCGTCAATGTCAGCATTCACCAGCCCCAATAAAATGCCAGGGCAGGCTCTCTCTGGCCCCATGTGGGTCATCTTTCCAACATCCCTGGCCAACCACAAAGACTAGGAGGAGATAACATTCTCACGGGCAGACCTGGGTCATGAGCCTTTCTTTAAAGCTAGGGTGTGAAATCAGCCATATCAGAAAGTGTCTGACAGAGGGTAGAGGACAGGAAGCTACTTAAAGGGAGATTGGGGTGCTCTTGCCAGAAGGGGGAGCAGTTACTACAGTGGGAAGCAGCAGATACCTTCTACAGGAGCTGAGTCTCCCATTAGACTTGTGAAACAGGGCTGAAAGGCCAGTCAGAGGAGGTGATGTCAAGAACGTGATGTGGAGATGTAAAAGCCCTCACCCCTGTTAGGCACTTGTAGTCCCTCCCAGATATTCTGGGGAGCCTCTCTGCACCCTTCCTTGAGGATGATCACCTTCCCTGCCCTTTTGGCCACTGAATCCCACTCCCCTCTCCATCTCCATTGCCTTCCTTTTTCTTTCATCTGCTTCAGTTTCCAGTAAAACAGACGGGTGGGGAAGTTCATTGCGGGATGCTTTCTTTTCTTTTGTTTTTAATGTCATAACCCTAACCCTAACCCTAGATGTATGCAGGACCACTTCATCCAGTAGTGTAACTTTGAATGTTGGTTTTTGATCCAGGGAAGAGGAGAGTAATGCTAAGGGTGGTGTGTGGAAGATGAAAGTCCCCAAGGACAGCACGGTAGGTTTGTTCTGATCCTTTTCCATAAGCTGAATGTGTGGTTGTTGTTGATTGCATGTGATGAACCTATTGTGCGTTTCAGACAGAGCACCTGGTAGACTCAGAACAGGACTGGGAGTGAGAAAGTCAATTCTGAACTTGGTGGTTTTCTTTTTTTTTTTTTTTAACTTTATTTTGCATTGGGGTATAGCTGATTAACGGGCTTCCGAGGTAGTGCTAAGTGATAAAGAAACCGCCTGCCAATGCAGGAGACAGAAGAGACTGAAGTTCAATCCCTGGGTCGGGAAGATCGCCTGGAGGAGGGCGTGGCAACCCACTCCAGTATTCTTGCCTGGAGAATTCCATGGACAGAGGAGCCTGGCAGGCTACAGTCCGCGGGGTCACAAAGAGTCAGACACGACTTGAAGCAATTTAGCAGCAGCAGCATAGCTGATTAACAGTGTGTGATAGTTTCAGGTGAGCATTGAAGGGACTCAGCCACACATATACACGTATCCATTCTTCCCCAGACTCCCCTCCCTTCCAGGCTGCCGTGTAACATTGAGCAGAGTGCTATACAGTAGGTCCTTGTTGGTTACCCATTTGAAATATAGCAGTGTGTACGTGTCCATCCCAAACTCCGATCTTGGTGGTTTTCTATCTTAAACACTGTCACCTTAAAAATACACTGTGAGTCTCTGTAGAAATGGAGCAATAGTATAACTATATGTATCATAGAGTCTGAACAGCTCCATACCTGTAAACTTTACCAAAAAGCTAATTATGGTTCTGTTGTCCTCCCCAGCTATAGCCAACATGTGGAAGTAGGTTTACATAGTGAAAAGCCTGACCCTTCCCAGCAAAGGCTCGTCCCTTCCCCACTGTAACGACCAACACTCCTGAGAGTGATCCCGGCTTGGAGGGTCTGGACGCATGGGGGGATTGCATCTCACCATTCTTTAAGGTTTGATGCAGGAGTGTGCTCAATCTCTCTCTGGGACTGATGAGAACCTGGTTGGTGACATGGCCTGCTGGGCTCTGATTGGCGGTGGTCATGCCTCAGAAACCTGGGTTTCCTAAGAGTGGGCTCTAATTCATTATACTCACTGAAAAGAACATTCAAATCTGCTCTGAAATCTTGGGAAACCAAAAGCTCCTTTGAAAATGGATGTGAGGACTGATGCTACCCAGTCTCCCCTTTTCATGGTTTCTTTCACATGGATAAGTGCAAAGAATTGAAACACCTCTAGGGACCCATAGGCTTGACCAGGCATTGCTGATGCTGAAACTTCAGTACTTTGGCCACCTGATGCGAAGAACTGACTCATTGGAAAAGACCCTGATGCTGGGAAAGATTGAAGGCAGAAGGAGAAGGGGACTACAGAGGATGAGATGGTTGGATAGCATCACCAACTCTATGAGTTTGAGCCAGCTCCAGGAGTTGGTGATGGACAGGGAACCCTGGCGTGCTGCAGTCCACCCCTCTTTGTGGGGTCATGAAGAGTCAGACACAACTGAATGACTGAACTGAACTGAAAGCTATGACTCAGTTTGTTTCTTAAAAATGCAAACTATCATTAAGATGCCTAGCTACAAGATTTGCCTATTATTTGATATATAGGATTTAAAAAATGTCAGGGGAGGGACTTCCCTGGTGGTCCAGTGGCTAAGACACTTTGCTCCCAATGCAGGGGGGCTTGGGTTCGAACCTTGATCAGGGAGCTAAATCCCGCATGCCATCGTTTTGAATTTCATGAAAACACGTTTTCCTTGTCACATTCTCTTTTTACTCACAGTAGATGTTGAACTCCAGTAGAAACCATCATGATGGGTGAAAAATAGCTGAAAGATGTTTGTTCTCCCTCCTGGTCAGCTCACTCGAGCACATTCAGTCAGAAATAACAAGACCTTCACGACTGTAGAAATGTCCTCATCCCAAGCCACTCAGCCCTCTCTTCTTTGCTGACCAGCGGGAGTCTGGTGGGCCGGCCTTGTCTGCATTCACTGTGGGACAGGGAACGTTCCCTTCCCTAACTTCCTCTCAACACGCTCACCTTCGCCCCTGCTAGCGTAAGAGACTGCAGACAGGACAGAGGAAACGGAAAGGCGGGGTTTCTAGGTGGGAGACAGGTAAACCAGGGTCTAGGAAGGAGAAAGGAAAACCCTCTCTGAGAGGGAAAGTCATTACTGTTCACTGCTATGGTGTTGGTTAAAAATTCAGCGAGGCTGCTCTCAGCTCATTAGAACATGATGATAACACACACTTATTATAGTTAATATATACTGGGCAGCTGGTCCAGAGCACACGCGCAGCTATTTATGAAACAGATCTTAAATCTCCGGTCCTGTTGTTGCAGTCACAGTACTGAGCCCGTCAAATGCATATGTTGACTAATTGCATGGTCACAGCAACCCTGGGAGGTCAGTCCTATTATTACTCCCTGTTCACCCTTATTACTCCCTGTTCACCAAAGGGAAACTGATGCTCAGAGAGGCTGGTAGCTGGCCTGGGGCATAGGTACTAAACCGGCTGTCATGTTTTAAACCCAGTTCTGACAGCGTTCAGAGCACGTGCACCATGACAAGGAAGAGATACGGGATTAAGAGCTTTTTGAGGAGAAACTGGAAAAACTTGGAGGCCTCCAGTTACTTGTGTGTGGACACTGGCTGTTGATGGATGGTGTTAGTAGATCTGGAGTAGAAGAGGCTTAGTTTTTCTCATTGGGAAAGAATGGACCAGAAAGTGAAACTGAAAAGTGAAAGTGTTAGTTGCTCAGTCGTGTCTGACTCTTTGCGACCCCACAGACTGTAGCCCGCCGTGGCTTCTGTCTCCATGGAGTTCTCCAGGCAAGAACACTAGAGTAAGTTGATACTCCCTTCTCCAAGGGATTGTCAAACCCGGGTCTTCCACATTGCAGGCAGATTCTTTACCACCTGCGCTAATTCTTTGAGGGAAATGCACGTGCACACACACACACACAGTACACACAGTTAAGTTATTTAGGAGAAACAGAACGCCTTCAAGTGAACAGAAATCTGCAAGTCTCTGGCCCTCAATAAGCCAGAAATTTCCTTAAGTGTTCTTCACTTGTGTAACCTTAAAAGTGCCTTATAAACTTCAAGAAAAACAGAAAAGGTTTTTTGAGGAGGATTTTACTAATAGCATTCACTTACAACCAGCTGATACATTTTGAATCCGTGAGAGATAAAGAGATCAGAAAATCGTAGGTCATTTGAATGCATTTTTCCCACATTCTTCTCAAATTCATCCCAGGTGGCACTCAAGATCAGCTTTGCCACGTTAAACCTACAGTTCCGTGGACACAGAGTTTGTGATGTGGGATCCCTTGCGTCTTTCTGTGCAAAGTGATGTATAAAACAGTATGATCTGTGCCACCATGCGAGTGTTCACACCCGTGACTCAGCCACATCTGTGGACCCGCGATACAGGCGTGGATAGGGCGTAAGAGCTGAAAGAAAAAGTGACCTGTGTAGCTCCTAAAGATAATGGTTTAAAAACGTGTATGTGTTTCTTTTCTTTGGTTCTGTCGTGTTTTTTATTCTCTTCCCACACCAGTCCACAGTTTGGAAAGAGTTGTTGTTAGCGACTATCGGGGAACAGTTCACAGATTGTGCCGCCGCAGGTAATGATGCGCTCAGCTCTGGTCATCCCCGCTTGCGTGCGCTTGGCTTGTTCCCTGCTGACGTTTGTTTCTGTGTGTTTGGCTTTTCATATCTCAGGGTCGTTTATTTTGTCACTGTGACATTTACTTAGCTTTTTCCCATGTGACCATGGCATTCCAGTGTTATATGTGTAGGTACATATGTATATTTACATATTTGTATATTATGTGCATATACATATGTGTGTATGCTTATATATTTATATATTTTTTGCACATATAGCTCGTCTTCATAGTATCCATGACCATCTGTCTAAGATAAACAGGCAGGAAAAAAGGAAAAAAAATTATTTTTTAAATCAAAGTATAATTGGCATACAACATTGTATTTGTCCCAGAAGAAAATGAAATTTTACATTGACTCCTAACACAATTGGTGGTAGGTTTCCTTTATCCATTCCAACCCTTCCAGCCGAGGCAGGTACGTTTGTTTTCTACTGAAGTTTGTAGTTAAGTTGGCACAATCCTTTCTGTCTGTCTCAATCCCTCGCCCTTGCTGTCTGTCCTTCTCTTCATCCCTCTCCTCAGAATGAGCCATGCAGGGGAGGTGGGGCTGAATCACCATTAGTGCCTGTGACCCCACAACTGAGGTTAAAATGTAAAGTCTTCAGGACTTTACACACCATTTTCAAATACTGAATGAGTTCCTGAGAGCCCTGTGAATACATTTCTATTTTACATTTTTAAATCGAAGTATAGCTGATGTACAAAATGCATAAGTTAACATGTGCCCAACATAGTCCTAGAGTCACAGTTTGCAAAAGTTATATACTCCCTCTATAGTCATTACAGAATACTGACTCTATTCCCCAGCTGCACAACAGCCCCGCAGCTCGTTTTTTACCTGATAGTTTGTACCTCTCAATTCCTTTCCCCATTTTTATTTTGCTGTGATTTTTGTCATGAAACCACTCAAAGAGGTAAATTGAATTGCTAGTTTACAAATTTGCTTTCTTCTTGGGTAGTTCTTTTTGAATGCTTCTGAGGTAACATTTAGAATAACATTTTGCCTGTTCAGCTTTCAGTTACAATTTTTTTTAAGCTAATTGATATTGATTGATTTGCCCTCAGACTTCTTAAATGGTGCTGCCTTTGGGAACCCTCCTAGGCTTAGCCAGTTCCAGGCAGGTTTCAGGTTTACCTCACTGACTGTTTCATCATCCTACTTTTGTTTTCCTAAATTATTACACTTCTTTTTTTTTCACTGAAGACAGAACCTGGGTTAAGAGGAACTTGTCTTAAAAGTCCAGATCCCTTCTGTTTTGATAGGGGGTAATTAGCATCTTTACAATATGTAGCCAAGAAACTGTGTCTTGTTGTTAATTATAAACACATACATCCCTAGGAGAGGAAGTTTTCTGTATGAATTATTCCCATTTCCAGAACCAGGGAAAATAGTCTTAAGTAATAATAAATAGCCAGGATTGAGCAAAGGGAGATGTATTGTTCTGTGGTGACATCGGAACGAGAGCACCGTTAGCTATTAACCGCTGGCTCCTCATTAACCCAGCCTCGCCACTGCAGCAGGGCAGCTCGCATCTCTGGTCCTGCCTTCCCTCATCTGCATACAGTGGCTCCTCCGAGCTCTGACGTCTTACGCTGCTAGTATCCTAGAATCCTCAGGGCCTCGCTGCTTGATGCTACTTGTGAATATTCCATACTGGCCGATGGATCTTCTTTTGCATACAGGCTGCAGCCTTCTTGTCATGCCCTTCTGAAAGTGCTGTGCCAGGAGGCTGCACCAAGGTACCAAAAACCAGGCCACGCTGAAACACTGACAGTTCAGCGTTTTCAGCACCAATCTGTTCCAGCATCCTTTGGCCAATGGTGTAGAGATGGGCAAAACCACAAGATGAGAAAATGCTAATCTTCTCCTGGCTGAGATTCAGGACGATTCTTGACAGTGGTCAATATGGAATCTTTCCTCTTTGCTTGCTGATTTTATGTTCACATAAAATTTAACATTGAGCTCTAGCAAATATACTTTGAAGATAAAACGAAAAATAAGAGACCTGTACATAAGACACATTTCTTGATGGGCTAATGAGTTTCCGTGGATGGCCATGATCAGGTACTGTTTACTTTGGGGGGGAATTTTTGTTGAGTTGTGACATGTATACAGAGAAGGACACAAACTATACTGTGTGTAGTTTGATAAACATTCCCAAAGTAAACAAATCCCCATAACTGGCATCCACATCAAGGAAGAGAACGTCCATGGCCCTCCAGAATCTCTCCACACCCTGCCTCCCCCGAAAGGTGGCTACTAGCCTAAATTCTGACACCTCCCACTGATTTTGCCTGCTTTCACACATTTCTATACAGGGAATTATTTAGTATCACATCACACATATTTAGCCCAGAGTGAAATTTATTTTAAAAGGAAAGGGAAAGAGAGAATGAAGGCAAGAAGGGAAGGACGGAGAAAAGAAAACAATTATTTTGTTGAAGATGAACCCCTGTGGTAATTGGACAGGCCCTCATTTATAGTGTATCTAAGTGCTGGAACCTTTTAATCCCCAGAAGACACACAGAAAATCTGGCAATGTAAATATTAAGATGTACAGATTTACCATAAATGAGGAGAATTAGGCAAAACGTATTAACTGCAGCACAGTTTCTTAACTTCAGTGATGCTCATCATTCACATCTAACTCGTTGATGCTTGTGCAGGGGCAGAGGGGTGACCCTATTTCAGTAATGTGCAGCCAACACGTGAATCTGGAGTCAGCAGTCTTGACTCCTGTCATTTTGCTGCGAATTACTATGTATAGAGTGGCTCCATAGGACAGTACATAGCCTTATTTATCCAGGCACCAGTTCTCAAATACCTACCAAACAGCCCCAAATCTGGAATTCAGTCTTTAAAAAAAAAAAGACCTACATTAATCAAAGTAGATACATACTTCCCCTGCCCATTCACTGAAGTGCTGTAATAACAGAGCCACACTTAGGAGATATTTGCTTTTACTTTATACACAGTGCTAACAGATGGTCATTGATTCTCCAGCCCACAGTTAAAATGCCCAGACCAGAAGGGGTATGGCTAGGGAGAAGCAGGAGAGAGCTGGGAGGATTAACAGGACAGGAGCAGACAAGCAAACCACAGAAAGCAGAATGAGCAACTCGAAACACACAGTCTGGGTCCAGTTAGTGTTGGGGCCCAGAGCACTAGCCACCCCAAGATCTCTGAATGGTTGGCAGGAAGTCAGGAGAAATACTTGCCGTTCTTAACAAGGACAGCCAAGCATCGAGGAACAGTTCATGTGAGTTCACTTGGCTTTCAGAGAGCCGAACATTATGCAACTTGTTTTAGAAAAAGTCTCATCAAAACAGAGTTCCAAATAGTCCAAGGCTTCGGTAACATGTTAAAAAGGGCAAATTACTTATCTGGAAAATTTGTTTGGCCGGGACACTCTGTTTATCTAAGTCCCTGGATAAATGTGATGGGAGCACTACAGCTATAGCCCACTAACTTGCTTTTGTCCAATGATGGTCCCTTAGTATATTTATCACGAGTTCTCTAGTGCCACCTTCTTTTGATCATCTTCATAACCTACCAGTAAAATGATAAATGTTAAAAAGCCAACTCTGGAGGACTTGAAATGATCACTCATTTCTTTTTTTCCCCTGCCTTCCCTTCAGATGATGAAGTAATAGGAGTTAGTGTCAGCGTCCGGGACCGAGAAGATGTCGTCCAAGTCTGGAATGTAAATGCCGCATTAGTCGGTGAAGCCACCGTTTTAGAAAAGATCTATGAACTCCTGCCCCACATATCTTTTAAAGCCGTATTTTATAAACGTAAGTGCTTCATTTCCAGTTACTACTTTCCAGCTTATTCTTTCATACTTTTAAAGACAGAAACTGTGTTGCCAAAGAGGTGAAGGGAGAGTCACTTGAAATTCTATGATCCACTAAATAATGCAATAAAATACATTTATGGGTCTAAAACAACAGTTTAGCCTTAGAAGTTAAAATGAGATTTTATTGTCATCTAAACACATGTATCATAAAAAAAGAGATACATTATTGTTTTTGTTATTTCAAAAATTTAAACCTAATCTCAGACTTGTCATTCTTATAAGAAATTGCCTTCTATTTGAAGCAACAATAACAAAAAAGTTATTACACGAGTTGGCAGGTAGATTTTCAATCATCCCTTCATAAACAGGGATTTATAATGTGTAACATCTGTATTTGTGGAGGAACTTGTTCTGAGCACAGGCATGATTGAACGTTATACTGAAATGCTAATATGTCCTCATTACAGATGAGTGTGACACAGAGGAGAATGCACGCATAGTGGTGAAATGTTAACAGTATGAATAGGTGTGTGGACCCATTGTTTCCATCATGATTCATGTTCATTGCTTTTGTGTGCTCTTTTGAAAAAGTCATCTTTTTCATAGTGAAAACAGCTTAGTGCTCTTAAACCAATGTTTAGTAGATCAAACTGCGGGTTATAGTTTTAACAGTTAGAGGGAAGAATTGACAGTCCTGCATATATATGATGAATTTCCTGTTTTCCCAAACTATTCCAAGAGTCAGTAACCCAATTTTTTTCAACCATGGTGTTTCATTGAATCTAAGATGCCTTTGATGATAAGTATTATTTTAGTATTACTAAGAAAGAAAAATAAAAGGCTCCTAATTTAACTGTGACACAGTCATAATTCCAGTGGTCTTCAAATGTGCAGTGGGGAGGTGGGGAGGAAGTGCATCTTAGAATTAATGAAATATACTCCATGGCCGTTTCACTTTTCCCAACCCCTTATCAAAAAGAGGAAGAAAAAAATCAAAATTTGTTTTGTCAGTGTCTTACTATGGGATGAATCTAAGGCCTCCCTCTTAGGAATCATATAATCACAAGCCCAGTGATTTAGGTTGTAAGCTCTGGGACAGATCTGCTGCTGCAGATATCCAGAAGGTGTTTAGCTTCTGAATTTTAAATGGAAGTTTATATAGAAGAGATAGAAGATGGCACTACACAAGTTGCTTAACTGATTGTGCAGCATGGAAATCACATATTTGTAGATGCAATTTGGATTTCTTCAGTTCAGTTTAGTCGCTCAGTCATGTCCAACTCTTTGCGACCCCACGGACTACAGCACACCAGGATTCCTTAGGGGACATTGGATTCCTCAGGGGACATTCATTGTATTTTCAACCCAAACATTAACTGAAAGGTTCCCAAGGGTCTTTTTTTTTTTTTTCTACTCCCTGAGACTAACTCCAGCAGAAACTCTCCGAAAGGAAGTGTGTTTCACTGCCATTTATGAATGGAGCAAATGCGGTCTTAGATGCAGCTCCCCATATCACTTCAAAGAGGAGAACAGTGATTTAGAATTGTGAAGTCAGGCACTATGGATTTTCGTCCCATTTCAACACCATGACCTCAAGCAAGTCACATTCTCTCATCCTTTCACTTTCCCTTCTTAATATTGAGGAGGTTGGTCTTAAATGATCTCCAAGGTCCCTTCTGCTTCAAAATTCTATTATTAAATTTCTAGCTAAAAAAAAAAATAATAATTCTAGCTAACCTGCTGTCAGTTAGCAGCAGACTCAATGTGATAGAAGTGTGTAGGCCACAGAGGTAATTAGGCCATCAGTGGTTAGGCAAGTTTTCAGGGCAGTGACAGTAATCCAGGTAAGATAGTGCAAGGGTGAGTCATCACTTCGATGTTGCAATGACTGGGGAGCAGGGGGAGAAAAAAGCCAAACACAGGGGAGCATGCAGCTCCCAGAACAGACTCTCTAAGTGTAGACACCATTGTGAAATTTGCGACTTAGGCTATGGGTCTTAGTAGAAATGCATATTTTAATAGTATAAATTATCATTCAAAAATTCAAAGATTATTCAAATTGGAATTGGAAAAAAACAAGCAGTTCTCTTTTTTTTATATGAAGCAGGCAGTCCTTTACTCAGTAGAGTTATACACCATCCACTGCAAAATTGATTTGGAAAAAGGAAGTTTGGGCAGAAATGTTCTTCATAGCTGGGTGAAGAACAGTGATCAGGTGAGCCAGATCACAAACAGCCAACTCCACGCCTTTCCTCTGTTTTGTTAAAGTAGGATCCTGGTGTTAGTATTTAGGAGCCACTTGAAGTGGTAGATTTTCTGTGAACAAAGAAACCTAATGAATTTGGGCCAGGCCTCCAGCCGGGTGGCTGAGAGTCAGGCTTTTGATAAAAGTTCTCTGTGCATTGGATACAGATTGGTCATTTGACTAAGAAACTGAAATGAAGAGAGACCTCCTCCCCCGCCACCCCCCAAATTCTGTTAGGTTCTTCAGAGCAGCTGAATGACAAATGTCTTCTGATGTGAGAATTGTTTAGAGCCAAGGTTGGCAAACTGCACTGTCAAACCAAATCTGCCACCTTCCCACCTGTTTTTGTATGGGCTGCAGCTGAGAATGGCTTTCACATTTCTCACTGGTTGGAAAAAAGAATCAAAAGAAGAACTACATTTTGTAACATATGAACGTTCTATGAAATCCACATTTCATATACATATGTATATGTATATACAAAGCGTATTGGCACCTAGCAATGCCCATTTGCGTACATATCATCTGTGGCTGCTTTCATGTTACAAGGGCAGAGTTAATAGTTGAGACAGAGACCCTGTGACCCACAGAGCCTAAGATGGGTATTCTCTGCCCTCTTCCAGAAAGAAGTTTGCTGATTCCTGGCTTTGAGCTTTTCTATATTCCCTTTCAGCCAAAGCTCACCGAAGGCCCGCAGAACTTTCTCTGTTTCTCAGAATGTACCACCCCCCGCCATTCTGATTGTTCTGTCTTCATAACCCATCAGGATGTCACTGTCTCAACGGTGACTGCCCCAAGCTGTCCCTCACACTTAGGAGTAATAAAAATCTGCAGACAGTCCCTTTCTCCTGACTTAATCGTTTGGTGCCCAGCGTCGCTAAGAGACCTGTGGCTCCCCACCTTGATACAGCAGTAACGATATATTTTATTGCAGAGCAGGCCATATTTTCTTTAATGTCTATCCTAAAAGTCTTTCTTAAAAAGAATTAAAAAAAACATAAAAAGTGAAATATTTCTAAAGTTCTGCATATGAGAAATGTTCAGTTACATCAGCTCAGATTCCTGGATGCTCATAGGAATTGGGTCAACCTGAGGTAGCCCTCAGAGCTATAAAGGGTGCCTCTCCCAGTGTTTCATCCAAGTGAAGACCGGGTTTAGGTGAACAACCAGGATAACCCTGAAGGGAAAATGATCCTATTCCCTGCCTCACACCACACTAGTCTGAAGAATCTAGATCTGAAAAATACAGTCTTAGGAGAGGCTTAGGAGGTAAAATGGGCCAGCCCGTGTCTGCCTTCCCAGGACTCCCTTCCTAGCAGGGAAGAGTTGCTGGAACAGAGCCTGGGGAATCCTGAGTGGCCCTTGGCCGTGTCCGACCTGTCACAGTAACGTTTCCTCTTGAGAGAAGACGATCCGCGCTCGCTTCACGATAATGGTTGAACCAGGTCTAGAAAATAGAATTTCAAACTTGGCCTTTACATATTCTATCTTTCACAGGCCTCCTAGTTCCCACTTCCAGTTTATAAAAATGTAAGTCTTTGGAAAATATTTTTGGTCGCATCATTTTTTATTCTAGGGTTCCTATTTGTAATTATTGTCATTTTGCAAGCCAGACCCTTAGGGCTGGGGGGGGAAAAAAAAGGAAAAAACAAAAACTATAACTGGGAAAAATAAAAGACCTATCCCTTTAATCACACCTCATTCCTCCACAGAGAGTGTTTAGAGGTGGGGGAGGACCTATGAGAATTGCTCCCCCCTTGTGTTGTTCTCTGTTTTGTTTCACTTTTTATTTGGTTTGGTTTTTCAAGATAGGTTTGTGAATGGCCCTGTCTGGGTTCTGTGAGGCACCCCCCACCCCCAGCCCAGCATCCTGCGGGGGCCCCGTTTTCCCTGCAGCATTTGCTCACAGCCCGGCATATCCTCCTCATCAGCTTGTCAGGATTACTCATCCTCCCCGGCCCAGCAAGAAGAAACAGGCAGCATGCCCGTTGCTTGTTTATTCCCTGTTTTAATTTTCATTATTACGTTTCTCAGGAAATGCACGCCTTAGCTAACAGTTACTGGCACACAAAGGTGTTTTGAGTTCTTGCCAACATTTGGGGAAACTGAATGAGATGCCTTAGAGGAGGGTTGCCCCATCCTTTGCTTAAAGTTTTCTTTCCTTTTTTTCTTTTTTGTTTTTTTTCTGTCCTTTAGCCCATGAAGAGCATCATGCTTTTGAAGGTGGACGTGGAAAACACTAATTGCACTCTGTAAAGAATTCTTTGTCCTTTGCTGATTGGTTTTGGAAACGGTCTTAACAGGAGGGAGAGTGAAGAGAAGACCTGCTGGAGCCCGCTGCTGGTTCATTTAGAGTGGGTTTCTGCCCCTGCAGATTGAGCGATTAGGACTCAAAGTGGCAGGTGGGGTGGGGGGAGGTTGTGTGGGTTTTTACTGTCACATTACTTGCTTTTCTTTCTTTTTATTTTTGGCTTTATGAATTCTCTGTTCTTTTCTCTCCAGTTTTTTTTTTTTTCTCTTTTAAATTCCTCATTCAGTCTAATTATTGTTTTCTCTACTCCCCTTTCATTGAGGCCTAAGAAATCGGTTTCCCTTTAAGTAGCTGTGCTGTACCTAGTTAATGAGAATATGCATAATCGTGACAATACTGCTTTTGAAAACCACACTGTCCTCCGAGGAACACTAGCTTGGTGAAACCTGTCTTTTGATTATTTGTTGTGACACATTCCTACATACTCTGCACTGGGCATTTTTTTTTTTTCTATCCCAGGGAAAAGAAAAACCTTACTTAATCTGATTTTGCACTGACAGCACCCACACCTTTTATTTTTCCTTTTTAATAATTTTTTTTTTGTTAGAAATGAAAGGAAAACAATAGTTGGGTTGCCAAACATGAAAACTATAATCACAGTTGAATATCAGGATATATATCACACTGTAAATCTTTGGACCTTCTGTGGAAGTATTTTCCAACCAGAATTTCAATTTGGCCTTTTCAAAAGAAGGCTCAGAGTGGTAGCAAAGGATTTGTCTCAATAGGAAACCTTGTAATTTCTGATTTAAAGAGAAGGTGATATTTTAATTGCTTGAACTAACCTTCTTCTGAATATTGGGTGTTTGTACCCATTTAGGGCTTTCCAGATCAATTCAGACACATTTTATTAAATGATCCCATTTTCCTGCTCATGTTGTGTGTCGTTTCCAATAATCAATCATCCTCTAGCCTGGGCAACTTTCCCCTGCCTTTTTCATTTAGGAGCAGAAGTTAAATCTCATTTCCAAGATGAATGTGAACATTGACAAAGTTGAACTCTGAATGCATTTTATTCACATTAATTTTTGGAATTGTTGAGATACATCGTGTTATGTTACCAAATAAATACCAGTTTTAATAGAAGGAAATGACCACCCTCTGGAACACTCAGAATGTTCCAGTTTCCCTCCCCGCACTCTTCCAGGCCTCCTGAAAAAGGCAGGGCCGTTTAGAAAGGCTGCTCCTGCCAGCTTTTTTCTGGAGTCAGGGGAGCTAGGGCATGCTTATACATCTCACGGAAGGGCGGTGCACTCCGAATTTCCTTTCACCCAGGATTTTTAATTCCTCTTGCATTATTGACCAGCAGAGAGAGGCAAGGCTTCTTCCAACCCCCAGCCTGAGTTTGTAAATAAAATTCTCCATTCAAACACTTTAAAGAACTTCAAACAACATCTCTTTACAGTCACTGTACCCTTCACTTGCATTACTAACCACATCAACCATAATAAAAAAATGATCATGGCTTTTTTTTTTAATGCTTTGTTTCTAAACTTGAGTTTCTCCACTGATTTCAAAATGAGGTATAAGGATACGAGACCCATTTTCAAAAGCCTGGAACTTGTTCTTTTTAAACATTGTACCAACATCCAACTTGTTTTTAAATTATTGATCAAGAATTGAAAAAAATACTCTGGGCATGAGTTTAAATTCTCTTTTATAATATAAGTATTTTTCCTGATAGATTAGAAGAAAGGTTATCATTGACTTACCTTCTTTATAATTGTCATATATATTTCCTTAAGTAAATGGATTATGAAGTATTTTTATTTTTGAACTTTATTTAAGACATTGTGATGACATGTTCAAGTTTTGCATGTATGTAGCTTTTGAAGAAAAAAAATAAAAGGAACAGGAATGTCAGGCTCCCATTAATGTTTTCTAGTTTCTATTGTTTATGATCATGAAACATGGCTTAACACACAAAGTAGATTTTCCTGTCCCAGAGAACTTGTGCAACTCTTTCTGACTCTGGAAAATACCAACCGTGAGAAGGATTTAATTTGCCTAAGTTAAGAACCTATCATCTAAATTACTCTGAGAGAGGATTTTGTCAGATTTTGCTTTGGAAATTGTTTTAATTGAATATTTAGTTCATAAGGGACAGTGTATGAACTAAGCTGATTTAATCAGTTTAAAAACCTCTCATTACCTTTTTGGATTAAAGAAGCTAATACTCTTTTGAGGTCCAAGGAACTGTCTTGTGGGGCATGTGACTTTTGTGTTAGGGTAGTGTCCCCTCCTTGGCCACAGCTGGGGAGAATGGGCAGTCCCAGCAGAAGCCTCGTGTCTTTCAGCCAAGTCTTTGCAGGTGTAGCCTGGACTCTGTGTAGAATCATCCACAGTCCCTCCTGTTCAATTGAGGACGGATAATACCTGTTGGAAGTGACTTGTCTGTGTTTCAGTTTTCTTTTGTAAGTGCTTTCTGAATGCTGACTTACTCCATTTTGATATTTCCCCCTCCCTCCTCCACCTTTTCTGCATTTCTAAAGTGAGGGTGTAGTGTACAGAGAACATGTCCATTTAATATCATGTACCTATTAAATTCAAGATGTAGTTGACGGAGAAATATATGGAAAGGAAAACATAGTTCTGGTAAACTTTTGAGTTTAACTTGACTTTGATCTTCTCCACTCTCTTGAATTTAGCTGATGTCTACATCCTACATACGGTCACAAAAGACTTTATACTTGAAAGAAACTTTATTATTGGATCCACTTGACATAATGTATACTCTAGCAACAAAGATTGTCTTTTGTGAAAGGACAGGGGACTAGCCATTGTGATGCAGCTGAGCATTGAAGTCTGAGGGCTAAATCCCAGTCAAAGTTTCCTTAAACAGAGAACACCCTCTAACCCCAAAGCAAGTCACCCCAATTGTGCACTAAATGACTGATCCAGTCTGGCCAATGATACACACGTACATAGTCAGCTGCCCTTGTTATAAACAGCTCTCGTCCTCTCCTGAAGCAGTGTCACGGTGTGGTGTTCTAAGATAACTTTATTATTCCAGGAGGTGGGACTTTGCTATAAGATGCCCAACTCCAAGAGGATCCCAACTTTTGTACTTAGATGAAACGGACAACATTTAGATCCATCACATGGTGGCGCTGCCTTCCAGCCAACGGTCCTGGCTCAGCAGCATAGTGTATCCAGCTCTGTGTAATTACGTTAAGATTGTACTGCCCATTGCTCTTGTGGTTTTATAAAACTTCGATGAGACGCTACCAGTAGAGGTTTAGTTCCCCTACACCTAATGAAACTGTGTCAAAGATAGAACACTCCAGATGTGGTTTAAAAAAAATCTCAAATTTTAGGCTCTCATTGAGCCTTTAAGCAGTTAGGAAGAGAAGGAATGAAATAAACCAACATATAAGAAATACCAGAAATATTTCATCACATTGGGCAAATATTGTGTCCAAGGGGAGAAGTGAAATTAGAGTTGGATTCTTTTGTTTGTGTTCGCTTTCTAGATTTGAAACTCCACTTTAAAAGTGTAAGTCTGCTGTTCACCTTCCCTGTATTGATGTTTCTAGCACATTCCACTCACTACAAATGAAAGTAGAGGACTGCCTGTAGATGCTTTATTTCCTAATAGAGGATATTCAGACCGATTACAAGAGAGTTCGGTGACTCAGGATTGTAAATGCCTGGAGAGCTGCCTCAACAGCAGAGAGGAGTCCGAAGGTGAGGAGGAAAAGGTTAGGGATGGGAGTGCAGTGAAAAGCTCCTTGAAACTCATCTCCTGTTTAGCAATTAAGAGTGGGCTGTTCCTCTGCATTTCCCATGAGGAAAAAAAGCCCAAACAGATGATACACATTTCACACATCTGATGATACTACTCTGGTTTTGTTTTCTGCTTTTACCTATGCATCAAAATCTAACTACTTCTTATTTAGGTTAACCCACTGAGGCTCAGAGTCACTGTCTTGTAGATCTTGCTGATGCAACTTGACTCTTAGAAAACTCACAGATTCTTAGAATTTTAGGGTGGAAGGGACCTTTGAGATCATCTCCCAGGGCTTCTTGTCCCTTAGCTTCTAGAAGAACTACTGGGGTGCTTCCTTTCTCGACCCCAGACCTAAGAGTTTCTGATTCAGATACCAGCCTTTTTAGCAAGTGCCCCAGTAGTTCTGGTATGGGTAGTCCTTAGACCCCCACTTTGTGAATCCCTGATTATATCCAATCCCTAGAGATGACAAACGAGGAGAGCATCCCACCCCCTACCCCCCAAGCTCTCAAGTGACCTGATTCCATTGTATAATACCAACAACCTTCTGAAGCCTGGAGAAAGCCATTATTACTTAGACTTGAAAAGATGATGCTCGTAAATAACAACTTTATGGCTAGCACCACAAGTAGTAATAAGTAGCCCATCTCCGGAAGTCCATAATATAAAACCTTTAGTACAGAGTGGTAGGCCTTTCTCTTTTCTAAATACCATTTCAGCCTGTTAAGAGAAAAGAAATTAATGTTCAGTAAAAGTAGTTACCCCATATGTGCAGTAACTACTTTTCTATAATGTCTTATGGCATCTGGGGTTCAGCATCATTGAACAAGATTAAATGAACGTTATAGAGCTATAAAATTGCATGTAAAATAATGCAAAACTGTTCGAATGACTATCAAAGAAGCCCGTGAATGAATTTCCACTAAAATTAATTGTCATTCCTAGACACAGCTTAGCAAAGCTGTTACTAAACTGGAAGGATTCTTTGATACATAAGAGTATCAAATAAAAAATCAAGTAAGTGTACCTTAAACCATGTTAATGATAAGTGACAGTCATCAAGAAGTCAGTATTATTTTGTTCATCATTGCTACTACAATTGAGGATCCCATTGTATATGTGTGTGTGTTTTGAATGTACCTTATTAGAATATCCAATAAAACAGCCTTTTGGATATTCTGTTGTGTCCTTCAGAAGTCATG